AAATCAAGGCACGATTAGTAGGTTGGGAGGGAAGATGAGCTAAAGGTTGAGTTGATCACAATGGACAATGATTTAATCAATTATACATACACAGTGAAGCTTCCATAAATCCCAAAAGACTGGGTTCCGGGAGTATCTGAATGCACGGATGATCCTGAAGGGTGGTGTGCCCAGAGAGGATATTCCCTTGCCATGCCTTGCCCTGCATCTCTTCTGTATCTTTTGCAATGTTCTTTATAATGAACTGGTAGATGTAAGTACAGTGTTTCCCTTATTCTGTGCACTGTTCTAACAAAGTCATGGAATTCCAGGACGGGATTGTGGAACCCTGATTTATAGTCAGCAGGTCTATAGCTGTAAAAATCTCTATAGGTTGATAGATTATGATCAGCACAGGTAAAACAACGTGGGGCTTATGACTGGCATTGGAAGCGTGGTAGGGGGCAGTTTTGTGGTACTGAGTCCTTGACCCATGGGATCTGATGCTATCTTCAGGTAGATAATCAGAATGAACTGAATTAAAGGACACTAAGATGGTGTCTGGTGCATAATCTGGAGAACTGATTGGCTGCTGGTGGAGAGAAGTTCCCACCTGCTTCCGCTGAGTAGAGGTCACAGAAGTATTCTGTGTTGTGAGAGGATAGGAGAACTGAATTTCTCCCATGTTCTACAGATGAAACTCATGGCATATTAAGAAAAGCAAAATATGAAATATGTATGAGCTATTTATAAAATACAACAATTTCATTCCTGTAATTCCAGCACTCTGGGAGGCTGAGGCAAGGGGAAAGTGAGGCATGAGTTGTGAAATTCTGTGTCAAAAGAGGAAAAACAGGCTGGGGATTTAGCTCAGTGGTGCCGCTGCCTACATCTAAGTGTAAGGTCCCAAGTTCAATCCCCAGCACCAAAAAAAAAAAAATTTTTTTTTAAATGGCAGGAAATATAACTCAGTAGAAAGGCTGTGCATTCAATCCCCAGTACTACAAAATAAATAAATAAATGCAAATATATTTATATATAATTACATTTATACATCTGTATATTTTCATAAATACAGAAAAACTGAAAGAAACCAAACTGAGTTATTAATAGAGGTTATTTAGGGGGACAGTATACTTTTGCTTTTGTCACAGTAAGTATACATGACTCTTGTAATAAAAAGATAAAAAATACAAGGTGAGACAATGGCAATGTGTAAAGTGGTATAGGAGGAGGGCACAATTAACTCCACTGGTATGTGGGGGTGGGGGGTGGCACTGGGTGGGTGTTAAACAATGTGCAAAGAGGTGAGAGCAGCACTGACCTAACCACAGTCATTTGAGGCCTCACCTGCCATGACTGCCCCTGCGTAACCCCGGTCACTTTTTCCAGCACACCATAAATAACAGCGTTACGGTGTCTGTGCAGTTTTACAACTGGACCCTAGAGCTGTTAGCATCATTGACTCTTTGATATTAGCTTAAGATATCCCAGGAATATTTCAGCTTGGATGAAGTTACTTTATATTTATCATCAAGTATGTCCCTTCTTCCGGCCCACATTGTGGGTGTCCACTGGTCCTCACTGCCATGCAGGACCATGCTCTGTCAGTAAGTTCCCACTAAACTGCAGTCTGTACAATTTTGGATCTTTCACGCTCTCTCTTTCACTTTGCTTCTCTCCATGTCTCAGTCCTGTGGAACACTGGAATTTGTTCTCAGATTGCGACCAAATTTTATTGGAAGACTGAAAAGGTGATTTATATTCAAATTTATGGTGTCCACGATGGCTGAAGATTAATAGTATCTTGTAGGTTTAATTGAGAACAGATAATTAGAGACTCTTACAGAAACTTGAAGCAGAAAGGGGCTAATTACAAGAAAGCTGTTTGAACAAAATCATGTGAATGTGACAGTGTTTCAATCCTGTTGTCCCCTCTTTTTTTGTCTTAGTAAGGCTATCTTTGTTCTCACATAATTAGTCCTCTTTTGATTAAAAAATCATTTACATTTCACATCACTTTATTGTAATATCATTTTTTTTGGTACCAGGGATTGAACTCGGGACTTTGTGCTTGTAAGGCAGGCAGAGGAACCACTGAGCTAAATCTCCAGCCCCTCTTTGGATAGATAACTTTTAAAAAAATTATATCTTGCTTTTTTATGTGGTACTGTGGAGATTGAATCCAGGGCATGAATGCTAGGTAAGCACTCTACCACTGAGCTTATCACCTGCTATGATAAAGCCCACATTTATATAGGAGTATATACACAAATGTATACATACATATTGTAGAGCCCAAACTGACTCCATTTTGAAATGACAAACAGCCTAGGAGACAGTGCTCTAACCCCCTCCCATTGTAGCCATAGCTCCGATCTTTGTTTTAACCCTGGCTTAGGAATGTAAGGCAATCTTGTACTGTTTGAAGTACAGAACCTGACTAAGGTGTAAGTTAGTGGTTTTTGACATAGAGACCCCAAGTTAATTATCGAACTGTTTGCTCATCCTGAATGTCTTGGTGGCCTTTGAACCATCCTTTAGATATCTGTTAATTATCAATGTGTGACTGCCGAGTAAGTGACTGCTGACCACCAACTCAAGTCAGCAGATCTTTGTCCGCTGCCTGCATTTTCAATATGTTAACCAATCAGGCACCGACCCGTCTAGAAAGCCCCTAGTTGTGCTTCCTTGCGGATAAAAAGCCTGTTTGAAACTGGGTTCAGGGCTCTCAGTACAAATCCACTACGGTGAGGTCCAGGAGTCCAGGCTTGAGCTTGCAATAAACTCCTCACGTGATTGCATCGGACTCGACGCCTTGGTGGTCTTTGGGGATATTGGAATCTGGGCACAATATATGTAAATATAAAATTGGCGATCTTTGATGTATACTTGTGAATGCTGGGGTGAGGATGCATATTGGGCATTTGAAGCTGTGAGCAGCTGAAAGCCTGAACTTTAATTTTCAGTGAGATAAGGACTCTGAAAAACAGAAATGTTAGGTAATTATGTAGGAGTAATTGTGTATGAGATATGGGAGACCTTAGCCCAAGTGTTAAGATACCGTTGCAGGCACCACATCAGCTCGACTTGGCATTGAGCTAGAACTGTATTGAGTACTGTTGTTTGCTCCTATTATTGTTGTTGAGTAAAATTTGCTGAAATGTGGATATCATATAGTCTGTCAGGAATGTAAGTCAATGTAAACAGTTTCAAATGATTCCAGAGTTGTCTTACATAGCTATAAGGATTCACAAGAGGTCAACGTTTAGGGTGTTGGATTATTCGGGCATATAAGCATGAATATCACTTAGGATGACTGCAGGCATTAGAGGTAAATTTGGATTCCACTAGGCTGTGAAATTTTCTTTTCAATATACCTAGTACCCTGATACAATAAGAAAAAAGGTTTTTGAATGAATGTTGCAGTATGCGACTGTGGCTGCATGGAGGATGTAAAGGTCACTCAGAGACAAGACTTAGTTCAGTCACCAAGAGGCCCAGAGGAGCCATTTCTCCACCGACAGCGCCAAGCCATTAGGGAAGACTCTGGGAGAAGCGGGTAAAAAAAAAAGCCTCCAAGCCTAGAACTCTCTTGACTTTTATTTAGAATATCAGCGTAAGAGAAAAAAAAAGGCAGGACAAAAAGCAGCTTGGGCCAGGCTCTGTCTCAAGGCTAAGCAGTTTTTCTTGCGGAAAGGGAAAAGACATGGCCAGACACAACATGCTTTACTGAACTTCTTGTCCAACCATTCGATTCTCCCAGCCTGTGTGCTTTTTGCCCCACAGTTTATTCTCACAAAGCTTATATACCTTTTGCCTCGCAGTTTAAGTATTTGTGTGCTTTTGCCTCACATTTTAATCATTCGCTCCTCACAGAGATTATGAGCGTTTGTCCTGCAGATTAATCATTCAGTTTAAGCTTTCAGTCCTGGCCAGGTCCTCCACAAATGAATATGTGAAAACCTTTCAGTGAGGCCAAGAATAAAGCCAAGTGGTTGAAGTCTACTTCCTCAATCCTTCTACCTCTGGGCAGAAGATTCCAAGGAAGGGGAAAGAAGCCCTCAGGGCAGCAGTTAGAAGTATCAGGCCCAAAAGATACAAAATTCTGAATGTAATCATTATATACTGCAAACATCTCCCCCACCCCCACCCCCCGCAAAAGAAAGTAAGGAAAGAAGCAAGAAAGGCGAAGTGGAAAAAGAATTATGGTCCAGCAGATGGTGTTTGCCTGTAGTCCCAACTATTGGGTAGGCTGAGGCAGGCGGATTGCTTGTGCCCATGAATTTGGACCAGCATGGGCAACAAAGCTAGACCCTGCTCCACTGCCAAAGATAACAAAATTTTAGCGACATATACTGAACAGAAGCATATGGCTCAGGATTCAAGTTAAATTCCCTGGATTGCCTTCTGCATTGTGGGCCTATCTCCCTTTGCCGCCCTCAGTATAAGAAGCACTCCCCTCTTCTGACTTTGTAGAGCCAAACGCTTGGGCTTTAGTGTCACACTCAGGTCAATCTAGCCTTCAACGCTGGGGAACAAAGAGTACCCACGTACTAACAGCTTGGAGAGCTGCTGTTTTCCTGGTCCCGCGCATGTGCTGGCACCGCCTCCTTGCTTGTCCTCTACAGCGCACCGTAGGGCCCTCTCGGTGAGCTCCACGTCGGCCGCGCAAGCGCCCTGGACGTCCGGTTCACCTGCTGCCGTTGTCGCCGCCGCCGCCGCTGGGGCTGAATGG